TTATTCCCTGTTACTTGCAAAAACCAGGGCAGATACCCTTGTAAGGGTATTCGCACCAACAACGTTCTATTTTGTTGATCTCTTTGTTGATGTCTGTTGCTCTTTGATTATCTTCCCCTTGCATGTCTCTACTACCCCTCCCAACCTGACTTTCTTCCGACTCCGACACTGGGGTCCCTGATGAGTTGTGCCTGACCTCCTTGTGGGGTGGGGGGGGTAGCAACTCTGCCACCGGGTGTAGTACACGAAAGCCAACATCAGTCCAAGTCAGCCCCGGGGGCAGCCCCTCCGAATCACCTTTTTGAGACTGGGACTACCATCTAAGATAGGGAATATGCTCAAGTATGTGGTGTCCAGTCTGCCAGTTAAATAGGCTTTTGCTCTACTGAAATTTGTTGCTCTTGGCAGGTCTCCTTAGTGGCCGGCTCCTGGAACTCCTCCATTATTATATCGGGGGCCGGTGTAGAGGGGGGGAGGAATGGTCCTACATCCATCGGGGCGGGACCAAAGGCATCTCTAAAGGGGTCGGGATCTGGCGCATCTGCTTCCCCATCCTCGTTCCTTACCTCCTCTCCCTCCTCCTCTTTCTCCCTTGTTTGGTTTTGTTATAGTTCACCGTTATTTGGAATCGTCGCTAAGAAGTTTCCTTTTTTTGTCCGATCCCCCCTGCCACCCCCTTCCTCTTTCTTCTCTTCCTCCCGTTTCTCCTTTTTCCCCCGTTTTTCAATGATCCTCATGTCTCTTCAATCCTCAACAACTGTTGTGTCCCCATGACTTCCCCCTTTTCCTTCTCTTGAGCTAGCCTCCTCCCGTCGTCATACAAATAGGCTTGCGGTGCTGGCCTGAGCAGGGGTGAACCTCCCACTGGACCCAGTGGTTCCTGGGGAAGTGGCTCTCCATTTTCGGTGGCCTGGGAGGCTGTGCCCCTGTCCGTTCCCAAAACCTTTAGTTGTCCTTAAGGCCTCCGTTTCCTAGAGAGTTTGCTGTACTAAAAACTAACCATATTATAAATTGTTAAAAACGTAGGAGAGGGAGAAACAACAAACACTTTAGATATGTGAGGTGAAATGCTAGTATGTTTGTGTGTTTTTTCTCTATATGAAACTCGAAAGAAGTGTGCAAAAATAATGTCGTTGGGTCTTTCTAATGAATATGGTATTGTCAAAAATTCAAATGTGTGTTTGTCCGTGTTTGAGGTCCGTTGTGATAAGTATAAAATCTCACATTTTGCATTGCTTTTCAGTCACCGTGAGTCATAAATGTTCGAAAAAGAGGAAAAAAAACCGATGGGATTGGAGTTTCAAGTTAAAACTTGAACCCCCCATGCATCAGTTTAAAGAATGAATTTCAAAGGTTGTGCATGAGAGGCTGCAGTGTAACACTGTAAAGGAAGTTCCACCAGGAGGGGCGACACTCACACAAGTACCACTCGAGTGTAGGATTCAACCTCGACTACCTACGAGAAGGTTGCAAGAGTGGATTTCATCAATATGAGGGGAGAAAAAAAATGACCGTAAAAATCCACAAACCTAAGAAAATACGAAGCAATTATGGTATAGGTAACGCTTTCGTTTTCCATAAAGGAATGTTGCGGGTGTCCAAGTGGAACAATGGAGATTAGTGATGTTGCATTTATGTGTCTCACAAAGTTCGAGGTCCAAAGTGGACGTCGCAGTCAAGTCTTTCATCATGGACTTGCTCCATGGTGCAAAATGCGCAAGTAAACTTTGTTGACGATATCGAACATCACACATACACTTGAAAGAATGCATGTTTTGCCAAAAGGTGCAACTGTGACCCACGAGATGAACATAAACTCATAATATGATAAAATATGAAGTAGGAAGGAAATAAAATTTTGGCGATTACCAAATTTAATATGACAAATTTGGAGCATTGAAATTCACTTAGAGAAAGATAAGGCATGTAGTTTTATATTGTGGCTTCACGCATGTCCCATTTCATATACCCATTTGGTAATTGTTGCATGAAAATGGAAAAATAGGAACGCATGGATTTGACACTTGCAAGCATAGGATAAATCATGATGAACTAATGAGGGAAAACCATTGAGAATAAACATATATTATAAGACTACATTTTTTTATGTGCATAATAAGGAAAAACAATCACATTATAATTTGTGCATACATTATACTCACAAGATCTTAAACCACGACTACGTTCGATATATTTTTTCCCGACCATAAGGACGCTCTGCATGCTAAAAGACGAACCAACACATGCCGTTGACGAATTTGATCGACGACCTGAAAATTATGGCGCATGCACAACAAGAACCTTAGGCCAATATATGGGCCAAGTATTGATGGTTTAATTGACACACTTCAATGTAATAAAAATTGTTAACTATAAAAATGATAGAGGTTAATCTCGAGTAGAGGAACCAACTTTCGAACTCCATCATAATCAAACCAATTCCATTGATTTCGGTCATTTAACACTCAATCATATATTACACCACATTCATGAGAAGTTTATAAAAAATATGCACACCAATAAAAAAAACACTTCCATTAAAGCCAAAAACACTCGTTAGGGGATAAACTATATTATCCAGCTTTATGACACATGATCCACTACCAATTACCACCCGATGTAACCATTGTTCACACAAGTGTTAATTGTCTATCATTGTACAACCGATTGGACCCTTTAGTGATTGTCACTCCATCGACTTGATCATCATGCAAGTTTATAAATACTACAATTCGTCGTAATGGCTGGCAACGTCGCTCGTTTATAATCAGCATACGAGGGCTTCTCAACCCGCCGATTTAGAAGGGAGAGCAAGGGGATCACACTTGCAAAACTTAAGTTGCAAAATGGAGGAGTATTATGTGCATCTAGAGGACGTGCAGAAAAGAGGGAAGATGTACAAGGGTAGGGAGGGTCCATAGACCTTGCATAATTGAAGTGCGGTTTGCGGAACGCAACCTCTCTCTCGACGATGATCCAACATGCACTGTTATCGGATTAATCAGGATGGAGGGGGAAACAAGTAGTAGGAGCTGGGTTTTTAAGGAGGGGAAGGACAACATGTTAAGGAGAAAGCAAAAGAGAGAAAGGAGAAGCAGAGAGAAGACAATTATAGCGCTTGCTGTAAATCAAGGGGGGGGGGGGGGGATGTTTTTGCTTAAGGGTGCCGTGTGTAAGCAAAGGAAAAAACAACCCTCATGCATAAACGAGAGTTAACAAAAACGCTGGGAAAAAAGGCAATTGAAGTTTGCAAAGCAAACCACTGGAGAAGAAGAAGGTGGTGCCCATGATGTGAGCTGAGTGCAATCAAAATGAAGTTCAGATCCGAATGCACGTTTGCTAAGATGTGAAAACATCCTATCATAAAATAAAAGGCAAGTAAATGGAAAAGACAAGCAAATATCATAGCTACCCTGTAAAACGATCTAAGGACAAAGTTTCGAGACAATGAGGAAAGACCGACATCAAAGATGACTTCTTTTAATTTAATTTATTTAGAGGGCAACAACCTTGAGATACCATCATTGAACTTACCGGCCTGTCCATCTGATTGCATATGGATTTGAACTTGGGTTTGGATTTCAACAGTTCATGAGTGTACCAACTGGGCTAGGCGTGTCACTAAGATGGCTATCATAGAACCCTGCAAAGCGGTGCAGAAAATGGTGCATCCCCCAAAAGGGTGCGTGACAATGCTATCAAAAAGCATGACAGTAATGTGATTTTGTCTCAGAACGATGCCGAAGCCAGAGACACCGGGGTCTCCACAATGGGCCACAACATTTGATGTGATGTAAGGGATGTTCAACTTGTCTCCCAGCATCAAAAGAAGACATTATAGTACTGGGAACAGGGCCTCCCACACATCATATTGAGGTGGCCCTACTTGAAACAAGCCAGGCTCATCTTCCTAGTAGAAATCAGGTCACCGGTTTGCAGTCCTGCCCATAGAGGGAGCACCTATATCTCTCTTACTTGCACATGAACAATAATAAGTCGATGCTAACAACCAAGACGGTTGTACCATAGCGCATAGCGTATGGACTAAAGCTACAAAGTCGAAGTCCATGACAACAGGACACAAAAATGCAGAGAAACAAACAGCTGGTGCAAAAGTAAAGCCAAAAGAGAGAAGCAGATGAGATGCTCTTATCACCCCGCTACGTAAAAACCTGCAGGGAAGCTTCAAAAAAAAAAAAAAAAAAAAAAAAAAAAAAAGTGAAAACAGCAAGGAAAATGTGAAACACATCGTTTTCGTCAAAATGAAAATTGTGGCGAAGTACCGAGAAATGGACTGGGAATCCAGCGGCCTAACTTAGTTGGTAAGGCTCGCAAGTGGCATTCAGGAGGTCGTGGGTTCAATCCCCATTGGCCTCATGTACCTTCCTGGGCATGCTTGGCGCCCGCCACCTAGAGATAGACCACTAGATCCCCCGATTGGCATTTAGCAGAGTCTGCTGATGTTCATAGGGGAGGGGACCTGAGGGGAGGCACAGGGATTGGTCCTGTTGGCATGGTCCCTGATGCTACCGGCTGTCCCCTAGCCGGCATCGCCACCTGCAGGTCGGGAGCAGCCCCCGCATGTTCTCTCGTGAACACGGTTCTGGCTGCTACGGGGTTCCCCGTATGCCTACAATTAGTAGTGGTAGGTAGGTAGTGTGAGGTGAAATTGAGAGAAGAATATAGCTTTGAAAAAAAAAAAAGAAAAAAAAAAGAAGTGGACCGGGAAAACCAAATAGTCTACCCCAGAGGAGGCTATTCTATAGTACCGGATAATCCCGAAAAAGATAAAAAAAAAAGAGAACATTAGCTGGTAATGCGCCAATTTGGGCCTCACCCACTTGAACCCCGGACAGCAGTCTCCTACTGCTGTCCAAAGGCATTGCACGTCTTGATTTTCGCGCTAAAGGGCCATTATATGACCATATGGGGCCCCGGCAGGACTGTTTGTGGATATTCGAAGAGCCACGGTAATCGGCGGGATAAGCATACGAGAACCGGGAAGCGGGGAAGGGGACTTTGTTGTTGCCTTTTATCCCCCGCCCAAACATTTCATCGTCCAAACGGCAAAGGCGAGCGGTACTTTTTTGCCGCGTTGGCAGTCTCTCCGGTCTACCGTGGCCCTCGATTCTGCCGCCTCTCTCCGGTGGCCCTCGATTCTGCCGCCTCTCTCCGGTGGCCCTCGATTCTGCCGCCGAGCGTCGACGTCGTTGGCGATCCGTATCGGTATCGGTATCGGATCACCATCTGCGCTGTGATCGCTCTCTCCCCTCCACAGCGCACTTGTTGATTGACGACGGAAGACTGAGCGCTGCCATAACCGGCGGGAAAAGGCGGGAAAGCAGGTTAGTGCTCAGGTCTCCTCCCGCCACCTGCCCTCCTACTGTTGTCCCCCGGAAACAACGCACCCTCATCGTGAGCGTATGGGACCGGTAAAATAGCTTGTGTACATTCTTGTCTTGATCACGGTATGTTGTATGCGCGAAAGAGGGTAGCCCTTAGCTCGCGTCGCCTTTGCATGTTTCGTCTCTCTACCCGTTCTTCCCGCCTGTTTATTTTCTCAAAAATGGAGTAGTATTAGGGCATACCCGCACTTGTTCTCTTTGGACGGAATCTGCCTGTGATGGCGGTCAGATCCCCATCCCAGAAAGTCCAAGTGTGAGGATGACCATACTCGTCTTCCTTGGCGGCTCGCCTTTTCCGTTTCTCCTCCTTCTCCTCCACCACTTCCACATCTGTCTCACTTCCCGCTTCTTCCGTCGCGTTTTCTTCTCCTTTGCCGCCTCCTGTTGGTTCTCTTCGTGGCTCCTCAAGTGCTGAGTCGTCCTAACGTCTTCATCCGAATACAACGCCCTGTCATTATCGCTGTGTTTAGACTGACAGTTGCCCCAAGCACCGCTATACAGTGACCGTGCGTTCTATTCGGATGAAGACGGTGGTGGTAGGGGTAAGCTCCTCGTTTCCCGCCTCTTGTCTGTCCGCTTCCTCTTCGATTGCGCCTCTCTGAATCCTTGCGTCGTCCATGTATACCTCGGTGAGCTTTCGTCCCTAGGTGCCTCTGTTGCCTTCCCCTCCTACTCCTCCTCCTCCTCCACCTCCTGAATGACATTGTTGTGGAATGGAAGATAGACGACGACGGAGCGCGGGGAAGGAAGAGCCATGTGCTGGTGAAGTATGATGGAGCGTGAAAGCGACGGAGGCCAAAAGAAAAAGAAAAGGGTGAGAGCATGTGGATGGAGGAGGGAGGGTACAAGAGCACTTAGCGTCCGCTGTGGGCGGTGAGAGTGGGAATCATAGCCAGCGGCTGTACCTGCTGCCCTGCCCTCATCCTTTCCTTGGCGAACGTTCGTAGACCCTCCCCTCTCCTACTCCCCTCTCATCCTCCCGGTGGCCTTGTTGTCATGCCCTCTTCGCCCTTCTCTCGTCCTCTCTCCATCTCCTGCATCGCCGCCCTCCTTCCCCTCCCTTTCTCTTCCTCGTTCCCTGTGCTTCCTCTGCCTCCTCCTTCTCCTCCTCCTCTCCTGCTCCCGTCGTATCCGTCGTCTTCTGTTCCCTTGTCTCCTCCTTCCAGTTTGTGTCATTCTATGTGAGGGCGTAAGGGGTAATGGTGATGGTGTGATAT